GGAAACACAATTTTTCGAAAAATCACGATAAGCCAATAATCGCGATTTGAGGCCTTAAATCGTGATTTATTTTTGGATCCAAACACCGCCTTACGTCTTGTTTATCGTATTTAACGTTGCTAGGCAACGATAACATATTTTGCGACTGAGCATTTTAGCTTGAACTTCCATGTCGAAGTGGAATCAATGTCATTTTAACGTGTGTGGACTAATTGCCTCTACTCAACTACCAGTAACTTTGATCTCTTAGCCGATCAAAGCGGCGCCGGAATCCTCGTCAGGTGTTTCAAAAATTTTCGTGTAGCCGAGGAAAATGCGACTGGAGATATTGGATGCGGATGGTGAGTCAGTCCTAGCAACTTTGCTTCAGGCTCAAGGCACAGTGCATCACTTACCCACGACTGAGGTATTGTTTAGATAATCTATTCGAGAAGTGGCGTGTTCGACAGTCAAACCTTGACACAGTAGCTTCATCGTCGCTCGGGTATTCAGCTGTCTTTTAATCATTGATGTTCTCTTCACAAACTCAGTTCTCATCGCGCCCGACTCAAAGGATATCAAGGGTAGAGCCTGAGGCGACGGTAATTTTGATCTTCGCCACGGCGTTGGGTCACCGTCGCCCGCTGGATATGGAGCTCATAGTGTCGGTGTTGGTGTAAACAGGCCTCGGGAAATACGTATTGATACTGTATTGGAAGCCAGCACAAACCGTAGTAAATGATTCATCAGCCATGATCGCAATAATAGTATATTGTGCAATACCAATGTATTATTGTGTGCTCACCTTCTACTTTGGCGCATTTGCATTGGAATCAGTCGATCGGTGTTGCACAGTAGCCACAGTGCGTCGACCCCAATACGACGCATTCTCCTTCAAAAACATGATCATTTCGAAGTTGATCGGAAGCATTGAACTTCGTTGCGGGGTCATTACAGCCTTTGTATTGGAAAAGAGGCGCTCACAATCGTTGCTAGTCGGGGGCACATGAAAGAGTAGAGAATCGTACTGTGGAGCGTTGGCAGTAGCGTAGTTCCGTTTGTTGCCAGCATGCAGCAGCGTCGCCGCAAAGCTGGAAGCGTTGGCTTCCTCGGGCTCAGAAGCAGAACTTTCACCAACTTGGAATGACGCAATTGCAGCTGTCTCTAGTCGAGACAGTCTCTCCTGATGCATTATCTGTTGACAACAACAGTAAAGTTAGTGCATAAAACGAAAACAAATCAAAAATAAAAAATACCTTGACGACAGCAGATTTAAAAGCTGGCGAGTGGACAATATTTGCATCCTTGGACAGGTACTTGGCCATGTTAGGGTAGCGCTTTATGACACCGTCAAACATGATGCGGACATCGCTCAAAGTTGTTTTGTTGGACTGCAACGCCAGACAAACACTATCCAGTGCCTTTAAATCTTCGAGTTGTTTTTCCAGCTTTCTGCAATCTCGCGCCCTGGGCATGAGCTCGTTCACGGCCTCCACGTGCTTCACAGCATCTTTGAACTCCAGAAATCGCTTCACCATCTTGAAAGTTGAGCTGCAGCGCGTCACGTTGCGCTTCACAGGCCGAAGATCTGTGTACTCCCCAGGCTCGCAGAGTTTTTCTTGGTGCGTAGCTGAGTCATCAGTTCATTAGCTTGACAGAGAAGGGCCTTGTGCTCAGAGATGTACTGCTGAATAGCCAAATTCAGCCTATGGCTAGCGCAGCCGACCAGAGGCAGGCCCATGCGCGTCGCTATGGCCTGGTTTGTGGCACAGTTATCGCCGACGATGAAGCGAAGGCAGCCAGGATCTTTGCCGAAGACGGCAAGGGTTTCGATGATAAGG